GAGGTGAGCAGCTGTCAGTGGTGAAAGAACAGGTTCAGGACTATTTAGAAAAGCTGGACATGCACAAGTCCATGTGGCCAGATGCAATGCATTCGAGGGTGCTGAGGGAGTTGGCTGATGTGATTGCAGAGCATTGGCCATTATCTTTGAAAACTCATGGCGGTCGGGGGAGCTTCCGGATGATTGGAAAAAGGTAAATATAATGCCCATCTTTAAAAAAGGGAAGAAGGAGAATTCAGAGAATTACAGACCAGTCAGCCTCACCTCAGTCCCTGGAAAAATCATGGAGCAGGTTCTCAAGGAATCCATTTTGAAGCACTTGGAGGAGAGGAAGGTGATCAGGAACAGTCAACGTGGATTCACCATGCCTGACCAACCTGATTGCCTTCTATGATGAGATAACTGGCTCTGTGGATATGGGGAAAGCAGTGGACATGATATACCTTGACTTTAGCAAAGCTTTTGATATTGTCTCCCACAGTATTCTTGCCAGCAAGTTAAAGAAGTATGGATTAGATGAATGGACTATAAGGTGGATAGAAAGCTGGCTAGATTGTCGGGTTCAATGGGTAGTGATCAACAGCTAGATATCTAGTTGGCAGCCAGGATCAAGCGGAGTGCCCCAGGGGTCAGTACTGGGGCCGGTTTTGTTCAACATCTTCATTAATGATCTGGATGATGGGATGGATTGCACCCTCAGCAAATTCACGGATGACACTAAGCTGGTGGGAGAAGTAGATATGCTGGAGGGCAAGGATAAGGTCCAGAGTGACCTAGACAAATTAGAGGATTGGGCCAAAAGAAATCTGATGAGGTTCAATCAAGAACAAGTGCAGAGTCCTACACTTAGGATGGAAGAATCCCATGCACTGCTACAGGCTGCCGACCAACTGGCTAAGCGGCAGTTCTGCAGAAAAGGGCCTGGGGATTACAGTGGATGAGAAGCTGAATGAGAGTCAACAGTGTGACCTTGTTGCCAAGAAGGCTAACGGCACATTGGACTGCATTAGTAAGAGCATTGCCAGCAGATCGAGGGAAGTGATTACTCCCCTCTATTCGGCACTGGTGAGGCCACATCTGGAGTATTGTGTCAAGTTTTGTGCCCCCCTCCCCCCACCCACTACAGAAAGGATGTGGAGAAATTGGAGAGAGTCCAGTGGAGGGCAATGAAAATGATTAGGAGGCTGGGGCACATGACTTATGAGGAGAGGCTGAGGGAACTGGGATTGTTTAGTCTGCAGAAGGGAAGAGTGAGGGGGGATTTGATAACAGCCTTCAACTACCTGAATGGGGGTTCCAAAGAGGATGGAGCTACGCTGTTCTCAGTGGTGGCAGAACAAGGAGTAATGGTCTCAAGTTGCAGTGGGGGAGGTCTAGGTTGGATATTAGGAAAAACTATTTCACTAGGAGGGTGGTGAAGCACTGGAATGGGTTACCTAGGGAGGTGGTGCAATCTCCATCCTTGCAGGTTTTGAAGGCCCGGCTTGAGAAAGCCCTGGCTGGGATGTTTTAGTTGGGGTTGGTCCTGCTTTGAGCAGGGGGTTGGACTAGATGACCTCCTGAGGTCTCTTCCAACCGTAATCTTCTATGAAACATATCCAGTTCCTTCATCCTTTGCTCATATGCCTTGCATTCCATCCCTGTGATCATCTTTGTTGCTTACCTCTGGATCCTTTCCATTTTCTGTACATCCTTTGTATACATCGGTGACCAACATTGGACACAGTACTCCAGCTGAGGCCTCACCAGTGCAAAGTAGAGCAGTAATATCACCTCTCATGACTTGCATGCTATGCCTCTATTAATGCAGCCTAAAATTGTATGTTTGCTGTTTTAGATACATAACTCTTTATAAGGAGACTTTTAATTGTTTATCTTGTTTCCCAGTTGTACCAATAGAAAATTATCAAAGTTTTCTTCTGTATCTCTTCTTTCTTCCAAAAACTTAACACAATATGTCTTCGGTTTCCAAGGCTTTTTATAACAATCTTGTAGAACACAAAATTTCTGCTCTTTCAGAATTAGTCTAAATAATTCCCTGGAAATTCATTTATGCTTTGGCTATGACTTTATATTCCCCTCAGCAAACTAGAACTCTTGAGTCTGTGATAGGATATCCTGCTTCACAGATGTATTGCGTTAAAGGAATACCCTGAGTCCAGAGTGAAACTTCATATATAAAAGTATGTAGAATACTGGCATATTATCTGCTTTCTTTATTTTCTTCGAGTACTGTCATTTCAGTTAGTTCTGTTGCTTGCGTGTTATTATTTATGTATATCTTCACCACATAAAATGGGGCTAGTTAACTCACAGTAGCTGTATGTTGCACAAGGTGCATGCCCGAAAGCACATACAATCTAATTGCACCCAATGACCAGTAAAGAGCAACAAAACTGTGGGGTGAGGTGTGACAGAAATGGAAGCTGCCTGCAATATCTTTGGAAAAACCTACTGAATTAAGTTTAAGTACCTCTAGGGTCCATTTTATTAAACACAAAGATTATATATTATTGTGAGGATGGATGATCAAAGGACTATATTGAACCATGTGACAGACAAGCATGGACTTTTGGAATAATAGGTGTGAAGTGGATTTCCTGGGATATATCTAGGGGGAGGTGAACACACATACCCTAACCTGGGTTATGCAAAAACCCTGCCTTTTGAAGTGGGCCCTGAGAAGTGTCCCAAACTCTATAAAGAAAAGACTAAACCAGGGATCGGCAACCTTTGGCATGCGGCTCGCCAGGGTAAGCACCCTGGCGGGCCGGGCCCATTTGTTTACCTGCCACGTCTGCAGGTTTGGCTGATCACAGCTCCCACTGGCCGCGGTTCGCTGCTCTAGGCCAAAGGGGGCTGCGGGAAGCGGCAGCCAGCACATCCCTTGGCCCGTGCCAAAGGTTGCCGATCTCTGGACTAAACTATTTATGGTGGTTCTGGTTCTGAGCCAAGGCTGTTATGAGCTTGTAGCCACAGGAAAAACCCTTTGTGAGGTTTGAAGGACTGATTCCAACAAGAGCCCTTGTTGGGGTGTGATGTTTGGTAAGCTTATTAGCTTGTGGGTAGGGCCTTTTATTGTTTTTAATGTTTTTCTCTGTAATGCTTTCACCTTAAAATAAATATGTTTGCTTATAAAGAGCTCTGTGGTAGTTTATAATGTCTGCTTATTACAGCTGTTCAAAGTGAAAGCAAAGTGCAGATGCTGGTGTGTTTAGGCAGCCTGGCTTGTTAGGGATATCACAGTGTAGGTAGAAAACTGTGGATCCTGGAAAAAACTCAGTTGGGAGGGAGAGACACATTGGTCTCCATCCAAGAGAGGCGATGGCTGAGGAGCTGGGAGCCTAGAATGGGTTCTCTCGAGGGACCACATGGGGGAATACAAGTGTAGTTGCCCTGAATTGTGACATGGAGATGACAGAGGAAAGATTGGTCCCGGATGTTAAGGTTACATGTTTATTTTTTGACAATGAGCCATTGGTACAATAGTTCAATTTGGGCAGGGACTGAGCAACAAGCAGTTTAGGGGCTCTGGCCCTCGGAGCAGGGGCTGAGCAAATAGCCAACACAGGCCATCCAGCCTAGGGTAGGTAGGCTCTCACCCCAGTGTGGGGGGCTGGCAGCAGCAGGGGTTCCACCCTCCTCCACCGGGTTCCAGACCAGGGCTCTGACAGGAACCTGAGGGTTCTGCCACTGGGTTAGTGGGGATCCCACTGAAACACGCTGACCTAGACTCTGGCAACACAACCAGACTAATGTCTGGTGTCCCTTGGCTACTTCCTACTACCCCTTTGAAGTGTACCTCCATCTCCTGGGGTTCCTCCATCTCCCCAGGGTATATGGCCAGCGGCAGTCCCAGTAGCTCCTCCAGGTACTGGTCAGTCAGCAGTCCCGGCTCCTCCTCTGGGTTCTCAGCAATGTAGAGCTCAGTCTTGGCTGCAGGGCTCGGCAGTGGTCTTCCTTCCCCAGCTCTTGCATAACTGAGCTGCAGGGCCCATCTTTTAAACTTCCTGTGCCCCTCTACTTCTGGCATTGCTTGCCTGGCTCCACCCACCAGCAGTTAGAGAGTGGTTTCTCCCCCTCAGTCTCGGAGGGAGGCCATGCTGCCTCACTACAATGTGTGATGAGATTTTTTTAATGTAAGTGATATCACTGGTGGGCCTTCCTGATGAAAAAAGTTTTAAGGAGGTATTTGAATAAAGCAAAAGTGATTGCCTTGTGTATATTTAAATAACTGTTTTCCTTAAGAATAAGCATAGTACTGATAACATAGCATGAGCTCTTTAACAAAATTACATTAACATAAGACTACCTTGTTAGAATAGAGCTGGGAAGTGGCCTACCTTGAGGAAAGTGAGCCAGAGAAGAAGTTTATTCTTCATTTGTTTTGCTCTAGCACTTGGGAGTGCTGGTCATGGACCAGGCCCCCCATTGTACGAGGTTTACAAACACAGAAAAAAGACAGTAGTTTCCCCAAAGCGCTTATACTAGGAAGCAGCAGTTCATATCTGTAGATGATCAGACAGGCTGGCAAATACAATCAGGTGTGTCATTTTCCCACTGTTAATCAGAGAAATGCATCACACTAAATCTGTGACCTGACAAACATCCCCACCTTGTTTACACTGGCTCATTAACACTACAAAAGTGATTTCCACCCTTTCTTGTCAACTATTGAGAATTACGTACTTCCAACTTAAATTAAATTGGCTCGTTAGCATTGACCCCCCACTTGGTAAGGCAACTCCCATCTTTTCATATGCTATGTATTTATACCTCCCTACTGCATGTTCCACTCCATGCCTCTGATGAAGTGGGGTTTAGCCCATGAAAGCTTATGCCCAGATAAATTTGTTAGTCTCTAAAGTGCCACAAGGACTCCTCATTGTTTTTCCTATTAACCTATGTTCATTTTATAATAGTTCTGATGAAGCACATTCTGCTCAATTTCAAAATAACAAATGCAACATTCTCTAAGTCTGTTTTTTCTTTCCTTGCAGGGTCAATGATTGTATCTTGCGGGTGAATGAGGCTGATGTATCAGAGGTCTCTCACAGCAAAGCAGTAGAAGCACTAAAAGAGGCTGGTTCTATTGTGCGATTGTATGTTCGTCGAAGGAGACCTATTCTGGAGACGGTTGTAGAAATCCAATTGTTCAAAGGCCCTAAAGGTAAATATGTAAAAGAGAACCCACATTTTGACATTTCGTTCTTGATGCATAACTAAACTCTTCATCATTGTGTAACTGGCACCTCAGTCTGATGTTTTGGAATCTGGCTGTGCTGACGTATATTGAGAGCTGAAATGAAATTGTTTTGGACTGTCACTGTCTGAGTTCAGTTGCCTGTTTTCCCTGCAGCTGTTGATGAGAGCACTGGAATCTAATATTCAGTATAGAGGGAATTTGGGCAGCTGGTCTGTTTTAGATGGTAATGATTGCAAAGATAGCTCAGTGCTTGCAAAGGAAGGACAGAAGAGGTGTCAGCCAGTGAGCTGTCAGGCAGCCCTCCTTCTTCCAAACCTTCTCCCCAGCTCCAGCATCTGCCTTTCATTTAGGATGTTGTTGGATATGGTTTTCTCTAATTCCCCTTCGTTCAAAAGGCCATATGACCATCCCCCAACTTCTCCTTCCAGAGTTTCCCCTACATTTCTCTCTCCCAAAGCTACAGTTGAAAGAATAAGAGAGAGAACAGACTGTCCTAGCAAGATAGCTCACTTGTCCTTGAATACGCTATTTTTCTCCTCATCAAGTTGCCATGGAAATGTAGTATAAAACCTTCCCTGCACACAGGCTTAAATCACTTTGTCTTCACTAGCTAAACCCTCTGGCTGGTGAAGGAGCCCTTTGGACATTGTGAAAACTTTGGTGTAAACTGCAGGATCTCATAAAAAACCTGAAAATAAAATATTTCTTAGAAGCAATTCTGCTCATATGTAAAACTTTCAGCATTACTCTTTCCCCCTTTCTTCTTACTAAAGGTATTTGCATGAAAACAAGACCTTTCTTTCTTAAGCGCTCATTTGATCCTAATGCTCCTTCCCACCTGAAAAGCATCTTTTTGAAACTACCTTATTTTCCATGGCTAATAATACCACAAACAGAACTGTTACTTTCACTGGGGGAGTGGGGAGAATAGGCAGCAGATACCAATGAACTCTTAGTCAATAAGGGGCCTAATTCATTTCTAGGATAGCTCCAATCACTTCAGTGGAGATTTTCCATCAGACCACATGGCTCCATGATTGTTTTTTTTTATATAGATGTCTTTAGTAATAATGAATGAGTCAGGTGAAACAAAGTCTGACATATTCATTGGATAGTTTGGAAATAAAATGATTTTTCACTGGCTTTCATTAGATCTCATCTCATCTTTAAAGAATTCGTGTTTCTGGAAGCTGGTATGACAGTATTAGTGAATTTTATTTGTTTACTGAGAAATTTTGTAATGTTCTGTAAAAAATAGCATAAAGTCCTGCATATTGTAAGTACCTCCATATTAGGAATATCACAAGCATTTGATACTTGGACTTCAACACTATATGGTTCACCGCTTACTATTGCCAAACAGTAAGGTACATTTAAATGTGCATCTGAGGGAAGAATTTAGCCCTAAGAATCCAGAATGTTATAATACAAAATTGACTTTCAAATTCAAAGCAGTCTATGCTGGGAGACTTTATATGTACATGTTAAATTGGAACAGTACAGGAAGCAGTGTTTTAAAGAATTTTGAATTAAACAAATGTACAGTGCAACTGTTATCTTGAGTAACCTAAAGAAACTAAACATAACACATCCTTTAAGCTTTTGATGAGACAGAAATAATTTAGTTTTACTGTAACAGTGGCTGCATTGTGGAAATGGAAATGAGATGCTAGCACTTTATTAAAAAAATTCTTGCAAGATTTTCATTTTCGTTGTGTGCCTAGAACAATTTTGTTTTATGTTTGTTACAGAACAGAGTCAATATGAAAAAAGCTTTTACGACAAATGAAGAACTTTTTACCTCTTAGTTTTATAAGTATTGATTTGATGGTTCTAGTTAATGAATATGTAATTTATTGCAGACATATACTCCAGCTATTGAATTGTATTATTAAATTAGGTGTCTCTTAAATTTCCATTTTAGCATTACTGAAAGTAAGTTAACTGAAAAGCAGGTTGAAAAAATTAAAGTAAATAATCAGCTCTTGGAAAAAATAAGTCTTTATGCTTTATAGTTTGAGCTGTAAGTGATGTGCTTGTATGCTTCATATGTATTACAGAGGAAGGAGGAAGAAGGAAAAGAGGAGGAAAATAATATATATATGCTGGTTAAATTTTTTGAAATTAGTATTAATTTTCATATAGTAGCAATTTTAATCTGATTATTTCAAAGTCTTATATCAACGATTAGTCAGATCTTGTGAGGTAGCTGTGTACCTCTGTTATGTCCATTGTACAGATGAGTAAACTGAAGGACACAGAAGTTACAAGAGGCCACACAGCACGTTAGTTCTAAAGTTGGGAATAGAATCTAAAGATCTTGGCTTGTAGGCTTGAGTGCTAACATCTATCCCTGGCACTACGCTCTGTCCATTCACACTGAAAGTACTTTGTCTGTGAATTACGCTTTCCTATCATTGCTATAAACCATAGAAACCATTTAGTATTTATATACCCAAAGAGATTTATAATCATTTATCTTATTTTCAACAAGAAAAACTGTTAGTTTTCAGACAAGAAGGCTGTTCTGATGTCAAACCTATTATAGCAAAGATATTTAAAAATGCTCCTTTTGTGTATTTGTTTCAATATACTGCTGACTTCATTACCTACTGTGCTGAGAATGCACCTCACAAAACTGAGTCTTGCCCTCTGCAGCATCACCTACACTGAATGATCAATTCCTGTACTTGTATGTGCATGTGCAGTAGCTCATACTTGTCAGTGTTTGAAAGCTATAAATAAGGAAAATTGTAGAGGGAAATACATGCATTTATTTTCAGCTGAAGTACATAGGACTATGAGAATTTTTTTGGAGGGATTTAAATGTTTTACAAAAGTTAATCTAACTAGAGATGGTTGGCATGTAAGCTGATGATTTTGCATCAGATGTGGATTTGTGTGTCACATATAGAGGGCAGAATGGAAGCCAGCATATTGCAAATATATTATAAATGCAAAACAAATAAGTGTACACGACATATATTAAGAAGCCATGTAACCCTTCAATTTGACTATTTGCAAAAGAGATGAGTAAGGATACCTCTGAACTGTTTAGCATTTTTTCAAAATTCCAAGAACAGTCTGACCTCCTGTTCAACACCAGCCATATAACTTCCTTAAAGTAATTCATAGAGCAGATCTTTTAGTAAAACATCCAATCTTGATTTAAAAATTGCCAGTGATGGAGAATCCACCACAACCCTTGCTAAATTGTTCCAGTGGTTAATTACCTATTATTTAGCTTCAACTTCCAGCCATTGGATTGTGCTATACATTTGTCTGCTAAGTTTGTTCCCCGCGTAGCTACTTATAGACAATGATCAAGTCATCCTTGAACCTTCTCTTTCTTAAGATAAACAGACTGAGCTTCTTGAGTCTACTACCTTAAGGTATGCTTTTAAAACCTTTAATCATTTAATTAACATGATAGGTCCAATTTTCCAACAGGTCCATACCTATGTAGTTACAGAAACTCTGTGTGTATTCAGAAGTTTGCCACACCCCTTTTTGAAAATATTGTTTAGAATGTCCTTGAGCTATCTTCTGATAAAGATACAGGTAGTCCTCGACTTTACGACGTTCAACTTACGACAAACGGCATTTACGACGCTTCTGAATTGACACCCTGATTCAACTTACAACAATTGGTTTCGACTTTGACGTTCGGTCCCACAATGGAGGGGATTGCGATTACGATGTTTTGACTTACGATACAATTTTCAGGAACCAATTGTGTCATAAGTCCGAGGACTGCCTGTACAGAGAGAGAGAGAGTTTTAAAAGCCTGATCATTACAGAATCTTTTCTTTATCATATGTTAGGAAATTGTCCCTAATACATAAATCAAATACACAAGTTTATTACTGGAAATGAAAGACCAGCTATTTATGAAATGCTGTGCAAGTGCATTTCCTACCAGGATTGGCTCTAGGCACCAGCAAAGCAAGCACATGCTTGGGGCGGCACAATTCCAGGGGCGGAATTCCGGCCATTCTTTTTGTTTGTTTGTTTTGCTTGGGCAGTGCTCTCGGAGCTTGGGGCAGCAAAAAACCTAGAGCCGGCCCTGTTTCCTACTGGTCTGTTTCAGAACTCTCCCTGGGCCTAGAGCTCAGCAACCAGTTTCTTTTCAGTTGCTACAGCCTCCTACAGAGCAGATATATTCAATATGTCCCCACATACAATATCTATTTCTGATTGACAGTCAATGGGATTAGGCTCCTAGGGGATTTAGATGGTTTGAAAATTCTATCCCTGGATTGAAAGTATGTGTTTTCTTTCCTGTGTATGGAAACATAACAAGAATAATGACAATGAGAATGGATTTATTTTTTTTAATCATCAGTGTCACAGCTGTATACACCACAGTGTTTGTATCAAGGAAACAAGTGTGCATAAATTTAAACACTTTGTCTAAGATGGTATTTGGTCAGCCTTTGTAATTGTACATGTAAAATAGCTTTCTGTGAGACCTTGCAACAAACTGATTATTTCTTATGAGGAATGAATTACAAACTTTAGCAGCATTCTCCCTTGTGTCCTGTCTGTTCAAAAATTATAATATATAAACCCATTTATTTATAATTGAGTAAAGCTTTTTGAAATGAAGAAATTTTATGGATCTCTGGGGTCTTCAGGAATCTTTGCTATTTGATCATTCCATACAATTTATATTTTGTTGACAACAAAACAATTGTTGTGTGCTTGATCAGTGATAGAAGTTTAACTTTGATTTTTATTTCAAATTTTAAAGGATCAGCTAGGCAAGCCCATGATGCCCTGATTGCAGCCTTAGTCTTTCTGATATCCAGACATGCTATGTGTATATTATCCAGGTCTGTTAGTTGTTTACTGTGATGCAAATATAAGACTTTAAAAATAGATGCGCCTTTTGTTTCACTCTATGAAGGTCTTATTGCCTAATTTTTCCATACACAAAGTGCAACCATGTACTTTCAGTCTGA